ACTACCCTAAACCCGAGTACCAAATTGTTACGTCCTTGGGACCCTTAGGATTACTCTAAGCGGTGCCTTTTCTCGAGTTGCGCCCTCCGTCTGGCAGAGGTAGTTCAAGGATCATGGGACTTAGTAACTAGGGTTACAAGTACCTTAATTGGGGTTTTAAGGAATTGTAAGTATAGTTACCATATTTATAACCCTAGTTACTAAGTCCCATGATCCTCCAAGGTATACTTGGAGCCTACCCGAAGGGTCGCAGCTATCTCCTTGGGAGGGTCCGGAACCTCCGAAGGAAAGCTCCCGAGACTCGTTGAGGTCTGGGATGGCTTCGCAGGTCCCTCTAAGGGAACCCTTAAAGAAGCCCTAAACCCTGAACCCTTAAAGGAGCCCTAGGGTAAACAACACCTAACCCAGAGGGTCCGAGTACCCAAATAGTGAGGTTTTAGGTCCCAAAATCCATACTCTGAATGGTTTTTGGACCTTGAAACCCTACTATTTGGGCACTTGGACCCTTAGGGTAAAGTATCAGGACCCCTGTCCCTAAACCCTATACCCCCAAAGCCCTGAACCCTCATCCCTACATCCCTAAACCCTGAACCCCTGAATCCTTAAATCCCTAAATCCCTAAACCCTAATCCCTAAATGCCTAAACCCCCAAAACCCTAAACCCTAAACCCCTAAATCCCTAAATTCCTAAACCTCGAAACCCTAAATCCCTAAACCCCTAAACCCTAAACCCCTAAGCCCCTAAAGCCCTAAATCCCTAAATCCCTATAAGCCCCCAAGGGCCTGATGAAGAACTACAAGGTTCCTCGGGTCCGAATTCGCAGGCCCCAAAATCTTCCATCCGTCGATCCGGAACTCCGAAGGTTTGGGGTTCAGGGTTTAGGGTTTAGGGTTTAGGGTTTAGGGTTTAGGGTTCAGGGTTAGGGTCTTTTAGGGTTTAGGGTTTAGGCTACGGTTTAGGGTTTAGGGTTTAGGGTTTAGGGTTTAGGGTTTAGGGTTTAGGGTTTAGGGTTTAGGGTTTAGGGTTTAGGGTTTAGGGTCTAAGGTTTAGGGACCTACTCCCTCAGAAAGCCTGGACGGTTTAGGGTTTAGGGTTTGCGGTCCCCCTCCCTCAGACACCTTTGTTTAGGGCTTCGGGGCTTTAGGGTTTAGGGTTTATAGTACCTTTATAAGGAAGCTTTCACAGAATCCTTATAGAACCCGATAGGAGTCCTTCTCGAACCCGGCTATGATAAAGACCCTGACAAGCACGCCCACACGCCTCCACCCCTTCAATAGGGTGTAAGGTTTAAGGAAAGCTTGGGGTTTAGATTCGAGCCCTGAACCGCCGGAACTAAGGAAACGGGAGTTCTTTGCCTCTACTGTAATCCTAGACCTAAAAACCCAAATGCCCATGTCCAAACACTTAAGCCCCAATCCAAAACCCTTAATGAAGCTCGCCCCTAAACCCTAAACTTTAAACCAAAACCC